AAAGTAAAAAATCAAAAGGGGGCGGAGGGTGGGTTGCGGAGGAGGGGCGGGCAGCTAGGGAACCGTTTTTTTTTTTTCCAATTTGGGAGGGAAGTCTCGTGCTTTAGAGCTCCCAGGTTCCAGGCGGAGTCTCTGAGACTCAATACGGAAGAAAACGGGACTGGTCTGGGCATTCGGTTGGGACTTGAAGGGCCAACTTTTCTCTCAGAGGGTCTTGCAAGCGATTTCCAGGGGCCTCTATAGGCAGGACTTGAGAGCAGCCATTCTGATCGCTCGCTCGCTCGCTCGCTTGCTCGCTCGCTTGGCCCGTCCTGTTGATTCCCCTGGGGACCCCCGCCCCACCCCAAACCCGTACATGGGAGGCTTTTTGCCATATGAAAAGGCCCCAGCCCTTTGTAATCTGAAAAATTACTTAAACAAAACTGCAGTTCCCCCAAGGTCCCAGGGCAACTTGCATTGCTTTACAGCTGGGCTTCTGCTGGGTTGTCTCAGGCAGAGCCTAGATTAGCACCTCCTTAGATCCAAGAGCCAGTGTACCTAGTGGTCAGAGTCGGACTATCCAATTACAATTCAGATCCATAAGGGACACACTCAGGGGGTTTGACGTCAGTGAGCACCAAAACCCCACTGAAGCAAGTCTTGCCCCATGAGGGTGTCTTCAGCACAGAAGTTCTCCCACTGCAGACACAGCTGATTCTCACTGCCAATTGGCCTGGAGGTCAAATCCTCCCAGTGTTACCCACAACAATCAAGGCTTAACTACAACAAGACTGTGCACAAAGCCCACAAGGGGGTGCACCAAGAGTGTCTACCTCAGGTAATTGGGGAGGCTGAGCCGCTTAGGACACTTAGCACAGAAAGCCACTCTATCGACACAGCAAAGCATAAAAAAATGCCAAGACAAAGAAACAGGACACAAATGACAGAAATGGAGGAAAGCAAACTACTGGATATAGAGTTCAAAACCACACTTAATGTTTTTCAAGAATTTTCTAGAAACTGCCAATAAACTCAATGAGACCCTCAAGAAATCTAGTGAGACCCTTGATGTTGTGATAAAGGACCAACTAGAAATTAAGCATACACTGACTGAAATAAAGAATATTGTACAGACTCCCAACAGCAGACCAGAGGATCGCAAGAACCAAGTCAAAGATTTGAAATATGAAGAAGCAAAAAACACCCAACCGGAAAAGCAAAATGATAAAAGAATCCAAAAATACGAAGATAGTGTAAGGAGCCTCTGGAACAGCTTCAAGCGTACCAACATCCGAATTATAGGGGTGCCAGAAGAAGAGAGAGAGCAAGATATTGAAAACCTATTTGAAGAAATAATGACAGAAAACTTCCCCTACCTGGTGAAAGAAATAGACTTACAAGTCCAGGAAGTGCAGAGAACCCCAAACAAAAGGAATCCGAAGAGGACCACACCAAGACACATCATAATTAAAATGCCAAGAGCAAAAGACAAAGAGAGTATCCTAAAAGCAGCAAGAGAAAGAAAGTCAGTTACCTACAAGGGAGTACCCATACGACTGTCAGCTGATTTCTCAACAGAAACTTTGCAGGCCAGAAGGGAATGGCAAGAAATATTCAAAGTGATGAATGCCAAGAACCTACAACCAAGATTACTTTATCCAGCAAAGCTATCATTCAGAATTGAAGGTCAGATAAAGAGCTTCACAGATAAGAAAAAGCTAAAGGAGTTCATCACCACCAAACCAGTATTATATGAAATGCTTAAAGGTATCCTTTAAGAAGAGGAGGAAGAAGAAAAAGGTAAAGATACAAATTATGAACAACAAATACACATCTATCAACAAGTGAATCTAAAAATCAAGTGAATAAATAATCTGATGAACAGAATGAACTGGTGATTATAATAGAATAAGGGACATAGAAAGGGAATGGACTGACTATTCTTGGGGGTAAAGGGGTGTGGGGGATGCGGGAAGAGACTGGACAAAAATCGTGCACCTATGGATGAATACAGTGGGTGGGGAGTGAGGGCGGAGGGTGGGGTGGGAACTGGGTGGAGGGGAGTTATGGGGGGAAAAAGAGGAACAAATGTGATAATCTGAACAATAAAGATTTAATTTAAAAAATTTAAAAAAAGATATCACACAAAGGAATGACACGGATGCATATATACAGGTGGATTCTCATGGAGGCCATATTCAGTCACTCATATCCATGTCTTCTTCATGATGATCATCACCATTCACTTTGGATTCTCTCAGGGGATCACCATTTTCCTTTTCCACAGAACATTCTTTTGTTTTTGGGGAAACTGGTTCTGTTGGTTTCCTCTCCTCTTTTTTCTCTTTCTCACTGTCATACCCCTGTTCCTCTTCATCATAATCCCATGTAACTTTTACATCTTTATCACTTTCAGATTTTCTTTCCCCATCCTTTTCTTTATCTTTACTTTTCTTCTTCTTGCTTGTTGATCGTTCTCGTTCATCTCTGCCTCTTTCTTTGTCTTTATCTTTCTTCTCCTTTTTATGCCTCCTAGGGGACGGTGAGCAAGACAATTTTCTTTTCAGAGACCTGGGCTTTTTAGGAGATCTTGTGCCACTCCTGCTTCGTCGACGTCGTCTCTCTCTGCTTGCACTTCTGGGCGGTCTGGCTGTGCTATACCTTTTTGGTGGTGTTTTGGAACGTTTCTTTTCTTTGTCTTCTTTCTTTTTGTCTCTGTTTTTGGATGTGCTCCTTGACTTTCTACCTCTCTCTCTGGAATGAGATCTTCTCCGTCTGGGACTTTTGGATCGTCGCCTACTCCTTGACTTAGAAAGGGACCTCCTTCTAGATCTGCTTCTTGACTGCCTGTGTCTAGAAGATGAAGGAGTCCTCCTCCTCCTCCTAGAGCATGATCTTGAGTGCCTTCGTTTTTCTTCTTTTTTATCTGGTTCTATGGCAGCAGATATTAGGGACTGTGCTTCTCGAACTTTCTTCATGGCTTCCTCTATTTCTTTACTAGAGGTATCTGATTTCAGACTTGGTGAAACAAGACCAGCAGCTACATGATTCAACTTGGGATCAACAGTACTCATAAGCTTCAGCAACTGATCTGCAACAGGAGACTGAGAATTCAAGTTTGCTCCAGGAAGCCCAAGTGCAGCAAGGGCAGGATCAAGAGTAGGAGCTCCCAAAGCAGCCAATGGAACAGCGCCAATCTGGGTAAGTGGGTTAGGAGTAGTCAGGAGTCCACCACCAGGCAGAAGACCTGCCACTGCATCAGCTGGTGCCAACAGAGACAAAGCCTTAGTCTCATCAGGAATAACTCCTTCTGCATATGGTACGACTATCAGTGCTCTGTCAATGAATACAGTGTTTGTTAGATGCTGTGCCACAACTGTTGAGTCCGGATCATGGAATTTAACAAAGCAGACACGGGATGAAGCCAGCAAAGGTGAACCATCCGGCGGGAAGAGGCGCAGTTCCTCGATCTTGCCTAGGAAACCGAAGAGGGTCAGCATCTGCTCAGAGCTAGCACTCGGGGAGACATTAGTCACCTGGATTACCAGGGTGCCGCCACCGCTGCCTCCGCCACCCTGCCTGCCACTGGGGCCAGGGCCCGCAGTGCTGGGGACGATGGTAGTGTTGCTCATGGCACTGCTCGCTCCTGCTTTAACACATCAAACACAAAACAGTGAGAGGGAGGGGAAAGAGGAACCGTTCGCCTGAGAGGAGACAGGAGGGTGTCCACTGTTACAGCTGCTGCTGCTGCCTCCGCCGGCTGTTCAGGCACCAATTGTTGGGGTCCAACCCCAGCAGGTCCAGGGGTTTCCAAAGATGAGGACGGAGTCCGCGAAGAATGAAGGAATGACACGGAAACAGGATCTCCAGCCAGGTTCTGTGTTTATTGTCGTGTTACCTCTGTATTTATACCAGTTGATTTTAATCCTATCCATTCTATTCCAAAGGTTAGGGCGTTTGTTAGTCTAGTTCTATTGAGTTTAATCCTGTCTAGGTTAATCTCTGTGTACCATTATAAGGGCTATTCCAAGGTCACTGCTCTACTGATAAGCTACAAGGAAGTGACTGAAGGAGATTATCCTAACCAGTAAAGGTTATGTCCTCCCAGCCTCACTGCTTGCCTTCCCTGGGACTGCCCTGTGTCAGTGGGTCTCCAGGGGTATAGGCTTTGGTGCTTTCCCTGGTGGGCAGACCCCTGGGGATGTGGGCCCAACAAGTCCCAAATTTATTGCCAACAGTCTTAGTCCAAGTACTTCATAAGTCGTACATGGTATTTCTGTAACACTAGGGGGTCTTACTGATTCATTCCCTTCCTTAGTCCTGTTAATTCCTAACCTGGGGAAACAACCTTTCTCGGGGAGGTGGTCCTGGTTAAAACACATAGCGCTAAGAGGGGGAGCAAACATATGCCATATACGCCAGGTCCCTTGAAACATAAGTTGTACAGATGTTTCTTCCCTGCAGCGACTGTGTCAAGCAGCAAGGGTGGGCCGGCTTCCGGCAGTCTGGTCCTGCCAAGGCATTACGGGTGAGTTAATTAAATGTTTGACGAAATACAGCAGGCTAATTTTTAAGCTGATAATTTTGTATGGCCCAGGAATGATGTTATAAATATCCAAATGGCCCTTGGCAGAAAAAAGTTTCCCCACCCCTGCCTTAGATTATAACCTAATAAAGTCTTGCTAGCTGGCCATCTCTACAAAGCTTTTAAAAATAATCTGCATTTGTATGTTAACTAGCACTCAGAAGGATCTGTCCAGAGTCCAGCCAGTCATATTACCAGAAATAGAATTTTCTTTAATCCTAATTAAATTAAAAATTCAATGAGAAAGTGGACAAAAGACATGGCAATTAATTCATAGAGGAAATACAAATGGCCAATAAATATATGGAAAGATGCATAATCTCACAAGTAAGCAGGAAAAGGCAAGTTAAAACAATAATGGCCCTGTCGGTACGGCTCAGAGGTTGAGGGTCGACCCATGAATCAGAAGGTCACAGTTCTGTTCTCACATGCTCAGGTTGTAGGCTCGATTCCCTGGTGGGGGACCTGCAGAAGGTGGCTGATCTATGATTCTCTCTCATCATTGAAGTTTCTGTCTCTCTCTCCCTCTCCCTTCCTCTCTCTGAAATCAATTAAAAAAATGTTTTTCAAACAATAATGAACCCCTAGTCAAGTAGCTCAACTGGTTAGAGCATCAACTTGATACACCAAGGTTTAAGGTTCAATCAAGCACATACAAGAATCAATCAGTGAATGCATGAATAGGTGGAACAACAAATCGATGTTTCTCTCTCTCTCTCTCTCTCTCTCTCTCTCGCTCATCAACAAATTTTTTAAAAAACATAATGAAATATTACTTTTGGCCCATCAGTTTAGCAAAAATTAAACATTAATAATATTAAGTGCTTGCAACATTGGGGGAATGTAAATTAGTGAAGTTTTTTTGGAAAGCATTTTGGCAGTTTCTATCAAAATAACAAATGTATATACACATTGACCCAGAAATTCTGTTTTCAGAAATCTTTCCCAAAATAGTACATGCATATGTGAGTAAAGATATACTGTATATACTTTGCAGCATTGTTTGCAATACTAAGAAAAAGTTTAGAAAGAAATCAAATGTTCATCAATAGAGAAGGGCTTGAAAAATATGTGCATGCATATTATCATTGGGATCTAAAAAATAATTAGATTCATATGGACTGCTCTGAAAATATCTGAGACATGTTAATTGAGGAGAAAAGAAGCTCAATCAGTGTGTGTGGGGGGACATGTGTGCACTTGGCTGCTTACATGTATATAAATATATACATAGAAAGGGCCGGAACAGTTCTCAACATTGGCAGCACAGTGTAATCACTCAGGGACTTTTTAAAAATAGTGATGCCTGAAACCCTCTCCAGAAATTTGAAGTAATTAGTCTCTAGGGCATGACTTGGGTAGTGGGAGTTTTCAAATCTCCCCCTGTGGTTCTAATGTGTAGCTCATTAAAATGCAAGGAAGGTGAATAGGAGTGAGGTGAAAGGAGACCGTCACATTTTGCTTTTTAAACTTGTATAATGTTTGAATCTTCCACCAAGATAATTGCAACTTGATAACAAAAGAAAAAGAAAAGAAAAGAATCAGAGAAATTTCCCTGACTTTCCTTCTTTTCCTCCCCAACCTCTCCTATAATCAGTTCATCACTCCTCGGTACTTCATTCATTCATTCATTCATTCAGCAATAACTAATCATCAAAACCTACCTTGTGTCAGGCACATATTTTGTCTTTTGTACACTGGTTGTCATTAATCTCGTTCTTGGCTGTTTCCCTCGCCTCTGTCATCTCTGTCTCCGGCATCTAGCACAGCTTCAGCCACTCGGGAACCATGAGCTCCCTGACAGTTTCTCCTGTGGCCTGAGAGCCCCCGGCACCATTCAGGAATGACTATAGAGAAAGGTGAGACTTTAACCCAGCGGTTCTCAACCTGTGGGTCGCGACCCTTTGGGGGTCGAACGACCCTTTCACAGGGGTCGCCTAAGACCATCGGAAAACACATATATAATTACATGTTGTTTTTTGTGATTAATCACTATGCTTTAATTATGTTCAATTTGTAATAATGAAATTGGGGGTCACCACAACATGAGGAACTGTATTAAAGGGTCGCGGCATTAGGAAGGTTGAGAACCACTGCTTTAACCTATACTGAGAGCCCCAAAGACATCTAGCTAGTAAATTAGGAGATTTCACAATTTGCTTTTCAAATTCCCTTCTCCCAGGCCTAATACAGACCAGCCCTAGCCTCCACCTGGGTCCTATTTCTGCAAGGCCATTCTCAGCCAGCAGGTGGCAGCCTGGGACAGGAATTGGGAGAGCACCCCCACCTGACATCGTTGACGCTGTAGCAGAGGGTTGGGGTCAGATGAAGAGGTAGGGTCTTGGCAGGACAGGTGCACAGGAGGAGGGTGGTGGGGGTCGCATTTTTGGCCCAAAGCATGACATGTAGAGGAGTTATTTCTATAGCTCAGCTTGAGCCCACCTGACGAGTTACCTAGGTTTGTGAGGTTTCTTTTACCTTCCACCAGTAGAGATATCCTGTTCCGAGGTACCCTGTACAGGCCTCTGTCCTCAGGAGGACTCTCTGCTGGTCCCTTCCTGGCCCCTGTCCAGCTCCCCAGGCTGGGTCTTGACCCTCCCTCTGCTGATAGAGATGGCTGAGGTAGTGGGAAGGGGAGTTTGCTGGTCAATGTGTAAAATCATGGATAACATCCCGGGTGATACGGGACACCTCAGTCAGTGCCCTCTGGGGTCTTAGGGTGGTGCCTGGAGGATCGACAGCAAAGGAATTATACTGGTTATGCTCCTCTTGACCTCTTAGCTGCTGGGGCTGACAGGAGTCCACCAGACGCTCTTCTTGTCATTCCCATTTCTTTTCAGCGTCGCTCTCTTCACTGCCTTCCGTCTGTCCATCTTCTTTCTGTCTGTCTCACTTTGCCTTTTCTCTCTCTTTTCAACACTTGATCTTTCTCATCTCACCGTCAGGATCTTTCCACCTTTCCATCCCTCTGACAACGACAGCATACATTGGCTGGAGCACCAGCTTGGTTCTCTCTCTTGCTCTCTGTCACATCTTCCCTCCAGCCATCGAACACTCCTTCAGGCTGGGGTCTGCAGGAGTCTTGACTTGTGTGATTCAACCAGAAGACAAGGGGGAGGTTTGGGGAGAGTGCACTGGCAAACCCACAGGGAAAGAACGCAGCAAACTCTTGCGTCTGATTTGGAGCACAGACCTGTCTCCTTCAGGAAACCAAAGGTACTGTCATCTCATCCTCTCCCTTCCTTCCAGGATTTTTTTTTTTAGCCCCCTACTCCCACCTTATAGGCCTGGTGGCAGGTGCAGCTGGGGCCAGCAGTCCGTGGGGAATTGGCTCAACTCAGCGTAAGACTAGACATGGAATGGGACCCAGAGGGTGGAATGAAGAATGGAGGAGGTGGCCTCTGACCCCGGCTCTGGCCCCTTCTGGGGGTCCTGTGTGACCTGCCATAGGTCATGCCCCCTCCTCCCTAACCACGATCTACATCACAAAACCCACAGCTCGTAACTCAATGCCAGCCAGGGAAGTCTGAGATTGATATAGGGCCCCTCCGGCCAGCTTCCCCTCACTGGACTATGGCCCCGAGGGAAGGGGTGGAGATGAGGGTCATGGGTGAAGTTCAGACAAGGGGTCCTGACCACCAGTACATCATACCTGTTGCAGAGCCTTCGGCGTGCACTCTTAGTTGATTTGCTGGGGGAGGGGTCCAGGCACAGGAGGTCAAGGTTCCCACTGACCAGCCTGTTTTCTCTGGCTCAGTTCAGGGCCATGCTCAGGGAGCTGTGTGCACGGCCCAATTTAATTCCGGTGTTTCATTCAGGATTCAGGCCCCAGGCATCTTACAAAGCAAAGAGAGCCCTGTCACCCACCGAGAGGGCAGGCCGGTAGGTCCTCAGAACGCCCCTCCACCCTCTCCACCAACCTCAGTGCCACGGAGCTGCTCGGAGCCAGGAGCCAGGTCTCACGCAGCCCAGGCCTCACCTGGTGCGTTTCTGTGGTAGTTTCCATCCTCCGCCATTCCCTTCCGGAGATATTTCCCCTACGTAAAACGTTGGCAACTTTCTTGACCATCACTCATACGAAATACATCTACCCAGGACACATGAGCATACGTATAACTAAAAGCAAAGTTTTACAAACCTTTGTGATGCCCTGTGATGTTTTCTGCTCTATTCTATTTTGTTATAAGGAAAAATAAAGGTTTTGAAGATGATTTTACAAACAATGAAGGGTCTGGCACTGCTTGTAAGCAACCGCTTGCAGGTTTACACCTTCACAAGTTGTAAAGCTCAGTTTGCAAACACAGACATCCATGTTATCTTCAGAAAAGCCCGTGAGAAGGTAAGGCAGGCTTTCTCATTGGCCCATTTTACAGACGAGGAAACAGACTGAGAAGTAATGAGCCCACCTGAGAGCATCCAGCCAGTGGACTCCACGGCAGGTCTGTGAGTGCTGGTGTGCGGCCGATGTCCTGTAGCTCCTCTCCCTACTTCCCAACCTCCCAATTGACATCATGATCTTTCCAGTTTGAAGGCCATCCCCTTCCACGGGGAAGATGGAGGGAGAGAGCAGCTGAGTAATTTTGTTTTCCATGTCATCTGTTAACACGGCACCATCTGCCAATTCTACTCTCAGCCCCTCTCTCTCCCCAAAGGCTGGGTGGGGGAGGAGGCGGTTTTCCCGGAGTCTGGACCTCTAGGCCCTCCTCACCCAGGGACTCGGAATACCCACAGAAAGCGCATTTTCCTGCCCAGAACCAACAGCAGCAGACTAGAGCTGAGATGGGAGGAAGGATGCTGTGACACCAAGGGAGGAAACAATAGGATTCACCCCTCACTCACTCTCAGGGTCTTGTCTTCATGTCCACACAGACCCCTCCACTGTGGTGAGGCTTGGAGCTGCGAGGAGGATGAGCTGATGCCGTGACAGGAGCCCTGCTAGCCCACCCGGGGTGAAGGCTAAGGAAGTCCATCTTACAGGGAGCCCCGGCAGATTTATGGGGCCTCGGGTGTGGCCGGCTGTTACTCAGCCTCTGACTTTTTAATTCCCGTCTCCTCACCCACCCCGCCTCCTTCCCTAGAAGGCCTTTGTGCAGGACAATGAGGAATCTATAAATTCCAGGGGACAGGGGTGTGGGGGAGGGGAGCACCAGCCGCGTCAGGCCCGCACAGAGCACGGGGTTGGCCTGCATGGACTGCCCATCTCATCTGATCCACACGGGAGCCCAGGGAGAAAGGTGGGCCAAGTCTTATCACTGCCTTTTACAGAAGAAGAAACTGAGGCACAGAGGCAGAGGGGTCTCTAGTTCCTGCTTCATCCACTCCATCTTTCACTCATGTATTTATTCTCCCTCTCTTACTCATCCCCTGGTCACTCCCTCACTCAGACATTCACTCTACAAACACACGTGGTCTCTCACCAAACGCCCATTGAGTACTAACTCTGTGCAGGCCAAGTACAGAAGAGGCAACAGGTGGTACACCCTGGCCCCCCCTGGAGGGGCACAGAGCAATGGCTGTGACTCAGGAGGGGCCGGAGCATAGCTCTACCTCGTTTTTCCCGGTTGGCAACCGCACCCTTCCCCAGTCCCTTTCACCAGCAAGCCCTCTGCTAGCACTTTCATGAGCATTTTTTAATTCAATCCTGGCAGTGGCTCCAGGAGTTCGTGTTATGTAAGCCTCCTCCAGCATTCTGCTAGTGTGGCTCCAAGAGGGAAGTGGTTGCCCACAATCACCCCCCTGGGGGTGGCAGAACACCAGGACCCAGGCCCTTGCCTCCACACCACATCTGCACCCTGAGTGCCCTGGGGACCCAGAGTGGCCTAAACTTCCTCTTCTACTAGTATTTCTTACCCCTTGCCCAAACTAGCCCCATGCCCCCCTACCCCCCTCCCCACACACACTCCTTGATCCTTCCCTATTGTTCTGTCCCACCTTCCTGCATAG